CCGGTGGATGATGGGGCCACGAAACCTGTCAGGGATGTGCCGAAATGTGTGTGCGGGACGCATGCGAATGTGAGCGCCGCCACTGGGGCCTTCGGTGGAGCTCCCTATGGGGCCACGAAACGTGTGAGGGGTGTGTGCCGAATTTGGTGTGGGTGACGCATGCGGGCGGCAGCACTAGGGCCTTCGGTGGAGCTTCCTATGGGGCCACGAAACGCGTGAGGGGTGTGCCGAATGGGTGTGCGGGACGCATGCGGGCGGCAGCACTAGGGTCTGCTGTGGGGCTCCCTATGGGGCCCACGAAACGTGTTGAGGGGTGAGCCGATTGGGTGGGGGGAGCATGCGGGCCGGCAACTGGGGCTTCGGTGGTGCTTCCCTATGGGGCACCGAAACGGTTGAGGGGTGTGCCGATTTGGTTGTGCGGGACGCATGCGGGCGGCAGCACTGGGGGCCTCGGTGGGGCTCCCCCCTATGGGCCACGAAACGTGGTTGGACGGGTGGCCGAAATTGGGTGTGCGGGACCGCATGCGGGCGGTGCCACTGGGGCCTTCCGGTGGGGGCTTCTTATGGGGCCACGAAACGTGTTTGAGGGGTTTGTGCCGAATTGGGTTGTGGGTGACGCATGCGGGCGGCAGCACTGGGGCCTTCGGTGGGGCTCCCTATGGGGCCACGAAACGTGTGAGGGGTGTGCCGACTTGGGTGTGGGTGACGCATGCGGGCGCGGGTACTGGGGCCTTCGGTGGGGCTCCCTATGGAGCCACGAAACGTGTGAGGGGTGTGCCGAATTGGGTGTGGGTGACGCATGCGGGCGTCAGCACTGGGGCCTTCGGCGGGGCTCCCTATGGGGAGGGGTGTGCCGAATTGGGTGTGCGGGACGCCTGCGGGCGGTGCCACTGGGGCCTTCGGTGGGGCTCCCTATGGAGCCACGAAACGTGTGAGGGGTGTGCCGAATTGGGTGTGCGGGACGCATGCGGGCGGCAGCACTGGGGCCTTCGGTGGGGTTCCCTAGGGGGCCACGAAACGTGTGAGGGGTGTGCCGAATTGGGTGTGCGGGACGCATGCGGGCGGCAGCACTGGGGCCTTCGGTGGGGTTCCCTATGGGGCCACGAAACGGTGTATTGGGTGGGTGAAGAGGAGAGGAGGAGAGGAGGAGAGGAGAGGAGGAGAGGAGAGGAGAGGAGGACGCGGGGACCGTCTCTTCAAAACGAGGACCCAACACCACAGGATGGTTGGGGGGGAGAAAATTATCCTGGCGAAGGACCCAACCATATGCAATTGTGAATACTGCAATTGTGAATATATTCTCGGTGGAGCCCCCTACGGGGCCACGAAACGTACGAGGGGTGTGCCGAAATGGGTGTGCGGGACGCATGCGGGCACACCCACTGGGGCCCTCGGTGGAGCTCTCTATGGGGCCAAGAAACGTGTGAGGGGTGTGCCGAAATGGGTGTGCGGGACGCATGCGGGCACACCCACTGGGACCTTCGGCGGAGCTCCCTATGGGGCCACAGAACCCGTGAGGGGCGTGCCGACATGGGTGTGGCTGACGCATGCGGGCGCGGGCACTGGGGCCTTCGGCGAAGCTCCCTATGGGGCCACGAAACGTGTGAGGGGTGTGCCGAAATGGGTGTGGCTGACGCATGCGGGCGCGGGCACTGGGGCCTTCGGTGGAGCTCCCTATGGAGCCACGAAACGTGTGAGGGGTGTGCCGAAATGGGTGTGGGTGACGCATGCGGGCGCGGGCACTGGGGCCTTCGGTGGAGCTCCCTATGGAGCCACGAAACGTGTGAGGGGTGTGCCGAAATGGGTGTGGGTGACGCATGCGGGCGCGGGCACTGGGGCCTTCGGTGGAGCTCCCTATGGAGCCACGAAACGTGTGAGGGGTGTGCCGAAATGGGTGTGGGTGACGCATGCGGGCGCGGGCACTGGGGCCTTCGGCGGAGCTTCCCTATGGGGCCACGAAGCGTGTGAGGGGTGTGCCGAATTGGGTGTGGGTGACGCATGCGGGCGCGGGCACTGGGGCCTTCGGCGGGGCTCCCTATGGGGCCACGAACGTACGAGGGGTGCCGAAATGGGTATGGGTGACGCATGCGGGCACGCGACACTGGGGCCTTCGGTGGAGCTCTCTATGGGGCCAAGAAACGTGTGAGGGGTGTGCCGAAATGGGTGTGGGTGACGCATGCGGCACACCCACTGGGACCTTCGGCGGAGCTCCCTATGGGGCCACGGAAAACGCGTGATGGGCGTGCCGAAATGGGTGTGGCTGACGCATGCGGGCGCGGGCACTGGGGCCTTCGGCGAAGCTCCCTATGGGGCCACGAAACGTGTGAGGGGTGTGCCGAAATGGGTGTGGGTGACGCATGCGGGCGCGGGCACTGGGGCCTTCGGTGGAGCTCCCTATGGAGCCACGAAACGTGTGAGGGGTGTGCCGAAATGGGTGTGGGTGACGCATGCGGGCGCGGGCACTGGGGCCTTCGGTGGAGCTCCCTATGGAGCCACGAAACGTGTGAGGGGTGTGCCGAAATGGGTGTGGGTAACGCATGCGGGCGCGGGCACTGGGGCCTTCGGTGGAGCTCCCTATGGAGCCACGAAACGTGTGAGGGGTGTGCCGAAATGGGTGTGGGTGACGCATGCGGGCGCGGGCACTGGGGCCTTCGGTGGAGCTCCCTATGGAGCCACGAAACGTGTGAGGGGTGTGCCGAAATGGGTGTGGGTGACGCATGCGGGCGCGGGCACTGGGGCCTTCGGTGGAGCTCCCTATGGAGCCACGAAACGTGTGAGGGGTGTGCCGAAATGGGTGTGGGTGACGCATGCGGGCGCGGGCACTGGGGCCTTCGGTGGAGCTCCCTATGGAGCCACGAAACGTGTGAGGGGTGTGCCGAAATGGGTGTGGGGGACGCATGCGGGCGCGGGCACTGGGGCCTTCGGTGGAGCTCCCTATGGAGCCACGAAACGTGTGAGGGGTGTGCCGAAATGGGTGTGGGTGACGCATGCGGGCGCGGGCACTGGGGCCTTCGGTGGAGCTCCCTATGGAGCCACGAAACGTGTGAGGGGTGTGCCGAAATGGGTGTGGGTGACGCATGCGGGCGCGGGCACTGGGGCCTTCGGTGGAGCTCCCTATGGAGCCACGAAACGTGTGAGGGGTGTGCCGAAATGGGTGTGGGTGACGCATGCGGGCGCGGGCACTGGGGCCTTCGGTGGAGCTCCCTATGGAGCCACGAAACGTGTGAGGGGTGTGCCGAAATGGGTGTGGGTGACGCATGCGGGCGCGGGCACTGGGCCTTCGGTGGCTCCCTATGGAGCCACGAAACGTGTGAGGGGTGTGCCGAAATGGGTGTGGGTGACGCATGCGGGCGCGGGCACTGGGGCCTTCGGTGGAGCTCCCTATGGAGCCACGAAACGTGTGAGGGGTGTGCCGAATTGGGTGTGGGTGACGCATGCGGGCGCGGGTACTGGGGCCTTCGGTGGAGCTCCTATGGGGCTACGAAACGCTGTACTGGGTGGGTGAAGCGCAGGGAAGAGGGGGAGGAGGGAGGAGGAGGGGGAGGAGGAGGAGAGGAGGAGAGGAGAGGAGACGCGGGGCACCGTCTCTTCAAAACGAGGACCCAACACCACAGGATGGTTTGGGGGGGAAAAAAAACGACAGACGGCCGCGGAGGGGTATCGACACAACAAGAAACTGCCGTAACTGGAGGTACTCCGAACGGGGTCCGAGCAGATGAGGTAGGAAGATCACGCCGCATCGCCGATACATCGGCGACGCATCGGCGACATCGGCGATGCATCGGCGTCGCCAGCGTGGGGAAAGTCGGGCTCCACATCGAGCCGCGTCGCCAAGGCACTGGCGATGCAGCGCGATCCTCCGACCCCACATGCTCGCCCCCCGTTTGGGAGGCCTGGAGCAGTCCTCTTCGCCCGAAGTGTTTCTCCCCTGGCTCCAATCCCACCCTTGGCGGCGCCCCCGAGGTGCGGCCCGCTGCAGCACCGCCGCGCTCCCACCGGTCGGAGGACGCCAACGGTACACCCGCACCGATCCTGGCCACGCCCATCCTGGGCCCAGGGTGAGCGTGGCCAGGATCGACGTACAGTCATCGTTCATCGTGCCGCCAGGAACGCCTGGTCAGGAAGGAACGGGCAATTTTGGGCTGCGGCGAGCCTCGGCCACAAGTAGCCTCCCCGACCTGGATCCCAGGGGACGGCCCGACAACCAAAGAGCCCCTTCTGAACCCAAAGTGGTCCTTCTCTCGGCGCCCTGACTGCAGGCGTCCAGCTGGCACCCTCCGACAGAGTGCCGCGCCGTCGAAGGACAGGGTCTCCGGAGACACGCCCCCGGATGGGTGGCCGCCCGCTCCAGAGGGCAGCGGCCGGGGCCCGCGCCGCGCCGTGCCTGCTGGGCAAGGAGGCCCGCGCACGGCACGCGGGGAGGGGAGGGGAGGAGGAGGAGGAGGAGGAGGAGGAGGAGGAGGAGGAGGAGGAGGAGGAGGAGGAGGAGGGGGAGGAGGAGGAGGAGGAGGAGGAGGAGGAGGAGGAGGTGGAGGAGGGGGTGGAGGAGGGGGAGGAGGAGGGAGGAGGAGAGGAGGAGGAGGAGGAGGAGGAGGAGGAGGAGGAGGAGGGAGGAGGAGGAGGAGGACGGGGGTCCAACGGGAAGTTCTTGGATCGGCGCCAGGCGCCCCTTCCTGGCGCGCGGAGCGCGCCAGAAGGGCGGCGCCAGAGTGCCACCCAGGGAGTCCAGCGCTGATCCAGGAAATCCGCGCGGGCATCCGAAAGTTGCGTTATGGGTTCTCCTGGCCCCACCGACAAGCGAGGGGAGCCCTCGGCTCCTGCTGCTCAGCGCAGCAGCCATGTCTCTCCGTCTGCAGGGCTCCCCAGGCCCCCGAGGGCCCCCCCCCGCAGGAAGGGGTCGCACCCCGACTACTCCCAGGAGCCTGCCGGAGGACATGCCCTTCAACCACAGGGGCGCCTCATGGGGCGTTGGAGCCAGACGCAGCGGCGCCGGCAACACCTCAGGAGCTGCTAGTCTGGGGGTAGACGTGGAGGCGCACGACGAACGACTGGGTGGTCTCGTCAACCGCCTTCGCCAGGAGGAGGAAGAGACTGAAGAATGATAAGCAAGCGCTGTCAGACGAAACAGGCTTCATGAGATGAAAGTACCCTGAAACGAAGACGAGAGGCATCGAAGCAGAGGAGAAGGAAGGAAGAGGAGAAGGAAAAAGCAGAAACGAAGAGGAACAGAACAGCAAAGCTGAGGGCCAGGAAGTGGTGCGTCAGACCCGCGACAACTCAAGCAAATCAATGGACAGGAGCGGGTCTCAAGCTCCGTCCCCCCTCCTCCCGCTCCTCCTCATCCTCCGCCTCCTCGTCCTCCTCTCCCTCCTCCTCCTCCTCCTCATCATCCACGTCCTCGTTGCGAACATAATCCGCATCATCATCAAATCATTGCCATCATCATCATCATCATCATCATCATCATCATCATCATCATCATCATCATCATCATCATCCTCATCCTCATCCTCATCCTCATCCTCATCATCATCATCATCCTCCTCATCATCATCATCACCATCACCACCACCACCATCATCATCAGCATCATCATCATCATCAGCAGCATCAGCATGAGCATCAGCATCATCATCATCATCGTCATCATCATGATCATCAGCATCATCGTTCTCATAATCATCCTCATCCTCATCATCAGCATCAGCAGCAGCATCATCATCCTCATCCTCATCCTCATTCTCCTGCTCCTCCTCATCATCATCAGCATCATCGTCTCATCATCATCAGCAACATCAACAACAACATCATCATCACCATCGTCATCTTCATCAGCAGCATCAACATCAGCATTCGCATCAGCATCATCGTGACCGTCATCGTCATCAGCATCATCGTCATCATCACCAAGCACCATCATCATCACCACCATCAGCAGCATCATCATCTTCATCATCAGCATCATCACCAATCCTCATCATCGTCATCATCATCAGAAGCAGCATCACCAGCATTGTCATCATCATATCACCAGTGTCAGCATCATCATCACCATCAGCATGTTCATATTCGTATTCAGATGCAGTTTCGTATTCATCATTTGTCATCATCAGCATCATCGCCATAATCAGCATCGGCGTTAGCAGGATCATCACTACCGTCATTGTCGCCACCATCACCACCATCACCAACAACAGAATACTCATCATCGTCATCGGCGTCGTGGTCATCGTCAGCGGCATCGTCGATATCATCCTCATCACCGTCGTCATCATCATCCTCATCCTAATCTCACCATCATCATCGCCCTTGTCATCATCACCATCAACATCCACATCATCCGCAGCATCAGCATCATCACCACCATCATCAGCATCATCACCATCATCAGCAGTAGCAGCATCAGTATCCCCATCATCATAAGCAGCGTCACAAACCTCATCATCGTCATCCTCAGCAGCATAATTGTCAATCCTTATACTCAGCATCATCATCATCCACATCCGCACAATCATCCTCAGAATTCTCATCATACACATCATCATCACCACAACCACCACCATCATCATCATCATCATCATCATCATCATCACCAATCATCATGATCGTCATCATCATCAACATCATCATCATCATCATCATCATCATCATAATCATCATCATCGACATCATCATCATCATCATCATCACCACCACCACGATCACCTCCATCACCATCACCATCACCACCACCATGATCATCATTTTCATCATCACCACAATCATCATCATCATCGTCATCATCATTATCATCATCAGCAGCAGCAGCATCAGCATCAGCAGCATCATCATCACCATCGCCAACCTCGCAACCATCACCATTGGTACGCTGCTGAGCTGGCACGGTGGCGGGGTGGCCGCAAGCAGCCGGATCTGATGCGAAGAGGTCTTGGCTCAAACATCCACATTCTGAGAAGATGCAGACCTCCATCCGTGCAACGGAACTGCTGAAATGAATGTGCGCGGCGCTGTGTTGAAAAATCCATTGCCCCTCATCCGTGCACTGCTGGAATCTGAAGCACGGCGCGGCGGTGAAGCGAGCGCCACACATTGAAACCGATCTCTATCCGTCGAACTCTGGGAACATCCAGCTTTCGGGCCGTAAACTGCGAGGAATCATGGGCGAAACTACCGGCCCGCCCCTCCGACATGTCTGGCGGTGAGATGAGGAATCACAATGGAAGGAAAAAGGATGGAGGAGGCGAAGGAGGAAGGATTGGGAGAAGGCGAGAGGCAAGCCGAGGGGGAAAGGAGATGCATGACGATATGACTACACTTGCCCCCCCCCCCCAACAGGGCTCGAAGATAACCATGTCCACCGCCTACCTAGGTCCCTGAAGATCGATCCGCAGGCGGTGGTCATGGATGAATCCCCGCCTCGGGTCAGCATGTGGAGCATTTGAGCAGCACGACGTGCCCTGGCGGCAAAAAGAGAGAGAGAGAGAGGTGAGGGTGAAGGATCAAATCCAAGCTTAACTGTAGCTACCTCGCGCTCACGCTACCAGGCAGCCGCTAGCTAAGGTCGTCCTTGGCGCGCCTACATGGCTGGGTAACTTGCATTGCGAGATTACGGCCAATTGTTCTCGGCCCGTCTTGGCAGGGGTCGAGCATACAGCGGCAGGCTGGCGGCCATAAACAGCGGCTGCACGACCGCAAAATGGTGGCAACAAAAACATGCTAAAACGGTCCCCACACCCGAGACGATAGGAGTCGTCGAGAGCTACACCGCACACCACAACGGGCCGAGGGACCGACAACACATTATTCTTGGGCCACAGATGGCCCCAAAAATAGACAAGAGCCCGCAACGGGCACATCGGCAACGGCCCGCACTTCGAGAAAGTGTGCGAACTGACCCGAGCAGCGCCGTCCTGCTTCGAGACAAGGCGGGCCCACTCGGGGGAAACTAGAGCCTGTAGAACCTGCTTGAGGTCGGCAGGCAGTGGCGTCGGCGAGAGAGCGTGCATCGCACTCCTTCGAACTGTTTGGTCGCAGCGGTTCGCATCCACACCGCGGTCGAAGGCAGTCGAGGGGCACTACGAGGCCTACAAGGGCCCAGCAGGACCAGCAAGGGCGTGGGCGACGGGGAGAGAAGCCGCCGGCGGCGGGAAACCCTCCCCCGAACAAGAGCGGCCATGGTATTGTCCCACTGCTCAGTGGACGGCGGCGGGGACACAGCGGTTGAGGACTAGCTGCGTTCGGCCGCATCTCCTGCTGCCACGTCCGCCGCCGCGCTCATTCAACAAAGAAACGCTCCCTGTCCGAGCCCTGGCACCTCAGGATCAACATGCAAGGGGGTCCTCTCGACTGTGAGACCGCTCCTTCGCCCATGGAGGCAAACGCCTGACGAAAGCGCATCCATAAATCCCATTTCCAAACGTCACAAGCGCGAGCCCGCCCCCGCTCTCGAGTCTAAGGGAAGCCCCTTCCATTTGATCCCTTCCCCGCCGGGGGGGGGGGTCGCCGAGGGGATCCTGGGGCCGGGGGGTGTAAGGGGAGGTCAGATACGCATCCCCCCTTGGGGTCCCGAGGCCTACTGATCGGTCCCAAACGCCTTCACGCCCTTCAAACTGCCCAGGAGGCCTCCAGGACGCCCCAAGAAGCCTCAAAGAGCACTCTCGAGAGGGCCCCAAGAGGCCTCCAAGAGGGCCCCAAAACAGCTCAAAGGCAGCCCAAAACGCCTCCAAGACGGCCCAGAGAGGCCCCCAAGACGGCTCCTAGAGCGTGCCCCAAGGGGGGGCCCGAACGGACACTTCGAGTCCTCGGCCCCGAGAGGCCCCTAGGAGTTCCCAAGAGTTCCCAAGAGGCCCCAAGAGGCCCCAAGAGGCCCACAAAATGTCCACAGAAGCCCGGAGAGGCCCCCAAGAAGCTCCCAAGAGGCTCCTAGGAGGCCCACACAAGAGAGCCCAAAATTTCCCCCCGAGGGCCGTCCGAAATGACCCCAAGGAGCGTCCATGAGGACCCTGGCCCACGTCAGCATCGTCGTCGTCGTCGCCGCCGCCGTTGTCGTCGCCGTCTCCCTTCAGGGTCGGCGGCACCGGCCGTGAGGCCTTCGCAATAATGGTACCCGTGCCCTCGAAGCAGCAGCTCGACAGATAAATTCCGCTGACGTCGACCACACTCTCCACCAACTCAGGCTCCACGAACGTCGGGTGGGCGAGATCGCGTGACAGCATCCCCCGAAGACGCAGGCAGGGACTCGCCAAATCCCCACCTCGGAAAAATTGGAGACAGACAGACAGACAGCAGCCAGGCGCTGAACAGCGCATTGGCAGACAAACACCACATAAAGTAGTATACATACATGGTTTGCGTGCACTGCTCTCTGCAGCAGCGAGACCAACCGGGCGGAGGGAGGGGAGGAAGACGAACAAAGGGGGGAATACCTTACGACTACAGTTGTGGCACAGGCATATAAACGCACGAAGCCCAATGTTGCGTCGGTATCCCTCTCTTGCGACGTTGACCCCAGCTCCGAGGCACTGATGACCCTAACTGACAGGTGAGAACTCGCAGCGGGCGGTCGTGTGATAATCCTGCGATGTTGTTATATAGTGTAACCTGTCTTTCGCGGAGAGCCTCGGTGACAAGTCGGGTTCCCAATATGTCTAAAACTTGGACGTTGGAAACCTTCGGGGCATCTGCATGTGGACTGCGGCAAATGCGACGGAAGCACTGCACGTTAAAACTATCGCACCTTTTTTGCCAGCCTTCAAAACCCACAGCGTTTCTACATATACCAAACCATTGGAACCACAATCGCGCTGTACAACTCGAGCTTCCTATGTCTCGTAATGTTGGCGTAAGCCTCGCAACGCTGCAATGTTTGAAGCATGCCGCGCGCCTCTCCGAGGCGCCGCGTCAGCTCTGGCTTGGCGGCAAAGTCGGCTTGTAACAAGCAATAAATAAACCCCTTTTGCCGTGCTGGGGCCACTGGGGCGCCCGAGAAAGTCTGGATGACTCAATTGCTCTGTATATTGATGGCGACCGCCCTGGCCCAGTTTACTTCGAGGCCGTACTTTTCCCCCCT